ACGACCAACGACCAACGACCAACGACCAACGACAACGACAACCAACGACAACCAACGACAACGACAACGACAACCGCACCGACAACGACAACGATCACACCACAATCAACAACAACAGCAACAACAACAACCACAACCACAACAACAACCACAACGACAGCGACAGCAACAGCGACAACAAGAACAAATGATTTGGTCGAAGCTGATCACGAAACCCAGTTTATTTGCTCACAAATCACAAGAAGAAGAGATCAAAGCATTCAGAGAGTGGTCATGGGTATTATCGTTCAGTGGATGAGGCCTGTATACATGAAGGATTTGAAAGAGATCCACGTCAAGCCAAACGAGAGCTTTGACATGGACTTGGCAACTACACAAAAGAAAACCAGGCGCATCAAGCTCTGTGGATTGTTAGCTTCGTTGAAGAGGGGCAGAGCACTACATTTAGTGATACTTAGAAGGCGGCGTACTTATAAGTATAAAATAACCAGGATATGTATAGATAATGTATAGTTAAAGTATGATAAGTATGGACGTAAGTATGATAAGTACAACAAAAGTTATCGCACTTATTCGATACTTATTCTGGAGTTAGAGTACATGCATGGCACTTGTAAGTAAATAATAAGTATATGTATAAGTATAGACATAACAGACTTTGCGGACTTAGCGTACTTAGATTCTAGTTAAGAACGCTATGTTTTTAGAAGACATCCGCGCACCCGCAGGATTTTTCGGCTCAAAGAGTGGAGAATGGCGGAGAGGGCAGGCTTACAAGACTACACGCAATTGGCAGACTTCCTGCGATGGGGCTGTTGGGTCCGCTATAGGCGATTGGGGACATCAGACGCATGTCTCGCATTTGTTTCGCGCCGGAGGGCGGGGCAAAGACTCGGCATTGTCTCGCATATCTCGCGTTTGTCTCGCGCCAATGAGCGTAATCATCCGGCAGCCACAAAACGTCTCTGGCGGGATAGTCGCGCGTTGTCTCGCCTTGTCTCGCGTTTGTCTCGCACCTGGCAGCAGAGGTTTGTTTTTTGTTTAGGAGTGAATGCGCACCGCTGCAGCATTTTCCGGTTCCACGGGTATAGAGCAGTGTGTGCCCCCCTCTGCGCGCCATGTCCTTCCTGCGTTTTGTTGAGTTTTGCGATACATGACCGGTTCTTCGAAAAACCTTGGTTCTACCAGGTTACAATTAGGTCAGACTTAGGTCGCGCTTGTACTACTTCGGTCTAAGTAGACTTAACATAGTTATCATACTTATAAGTATAAGTACGATAAGTATACTTATAAGTACAACGCCTTCTAAGTAGCTGTGGAGGACTCCAATGGATCTGATGCCTGGAAACAAAGCCTTGAAACCGACTTCGAAGGCTAGAGGACTAGCACTTTTGGGAGCAGCCACTACATGGCCAGCACTCTCAATGAAGAGTGCTCTACAACCTCAGCTCCTTAAGCTTGAAGATCAGGAACGACAATTCAGGAAGAGTTGAAACTGCTGTTCCTTGGAGATGCGTAGGTGGACAACTCAAATGCTATTTGAATTCGACAATTGGCGACAATGTTCAGTACTCAACTTTGAGGGAACAATCTTTGCAATGGAGTCGTTCTCAGCAGAAGTGGCTACTTCAATGGTTGCAAGCAGCAGTACAGACCATCAAGGACCCAAGCCTATGGACGTTGATTGAGTTCAAGATGCCAAAAGCAGGCAAGCAAGAAAGGTGAGTGAGAGTGATTACTAGAAGGGCAAAGGTAAGGATGCCACAGGCAAAGGAAAGAAAGGAAACGGAGAACAACAGAAAGGAAAAGCAGGTGATTCCACTGGCAAAGGCGAGGGCAAAGACCAGAAAGGCAAAGGTGTGGCAACTTGTTACACTTGCGGGAAGCCCGGACATCTTGCTCGAGACTGTTGGAGAAACCACCATAATATTCGACAGGTTGCAGGTTGCAAGTGATACAGCCCATTCATCTTCAGGGGAAGCCTCAGTGACTACACATACTAATTGCTTACAACAAACCAATGGGGCCCAGCAGAGTAGCTCAGCAGGGACGAAGCCAGTTGTCAGAAGGATTGAGAACAGTGAACCAGTCATCTTTGACTTACGAGAGAGGCATGATGATGCAGAATCTCCCGTGATTCACTTCTACATTGGAGATGATGATGATGATGATGATGATGATGATGAAAGAAGAGTGTGAAGAGGCTGAAATTGAAGATGAGAGTCCAAAGGTCAGAAGACTTGGGGAAGAGAAAGATGATGTGACCATCATTATCGACAGTGGAGGAGACGCAGCTTTATTCTCTTTGAATATGGCAGATCCAGCTACAGGATGCGCAGGGGAATCGTATCCCCACCGGGGTGCGAAAAGTGTCGGGATCTCCTTGCGTGACATTGATGGACACGAAGTTCTTCTCAAAACAATGTGGTCTTCAGTTCAAAGTGAACCAGTCCATACTTTGCTATGGAAGACTGATGGAGCATGGTTGGGGAACAATGGTCGAGAGCAAATATTGGAGAATGGTACCTTGAAGGTACCACTCAACTTGCAGAATCGCTCTTTGACGAAGATGAAAGCTGCTTCGAGGCGCAGCGCCTGAAGCTTTGTAAAAAGTACCGGGTTGGAAGTTCCATGAACTGCTGGTTGGAAGCCTATTGGCTTGAAGAACTGTTGATCCCACGTTCATTCCAGAAGTGGAAGATTCGCCAGAGTTGATGAGAACCATTTTGGTGAAAAGAGTGAATTTGTGAAAGTGTGATGAAAAGGGAGGACCTTCATGAGCATTTCTTTGATGATGATGCAGTCATTCCTTCAATCACAATCTTCAGCTACGAGCCAGCACCAGAAGATATGGAACTCCTTGCACCAGGATTCAAGAAGCTTGAAAACAGAGATGAGAGAAAGAAGGAGGTGAAGACCCCTACTCACCGGAGAAGGAGGTAGAAGATAGGATAGAAGAGGATAAGAAAGAAGAAGACTTAGAGTGTGAGCTGCAATTGAGCCCAATGGACGTAGACAAAGTCTTGGTGAATGGAGCAGAGTTGACTAAGGGCTCAACTTTAGCAACTTTGAGGGCAGCATGCTCCTTTCTCGGCATCTCAGGTAGTGGCTCTAAGTTGAAGGTCTACACAAAGATCCGCAATCGCAACAAGAAGATGGAACTTCTCAATGCCAAAAGTTTGGTGAGTGAAGCAAAAGCGCAAGAGACAAGAGAAGCACTAGGACAAAGCGTGGCTAAGATGCCAGATGAAGCCACTCAGGCAAGACACAGATTGACACATCTACCATATGCCAGTTGGTGTAAGGAGTGCATTGAGCATCGAGCACGGCCAGGTCGCCATGAGAGAACAGATGGAACCAAGAGAGGAAGTATCCCTGAAGTGAGCTTTGACTTTTGCAATACCAGAGAAACAAAGTCAGCAAGAGCAGTATGTTGGCTAGTTGCAATCGATAGTGCCATTAGGAAGCAAGAATCAGTTTCGTCTCGAGTTGATGAATTTCAGTCAGACGTTGGGGCACTCAGCAATTCCCTACAGGAGCGACAATGAACCCACAACGAGACAGATCCTAAAGATGCTGATCACTGCTCGACACAGTTTAGGACTTACGACAAGATTGAATCCTTCAAAGCTGGGAGATCACTCAATTTCACCAAATCAAAGTAGAGGGTCGAGATGGGCAGGCTTCAGGGCGAGTCTGGCTAGTCTCTTTTTTGCATTTTCGAAATTGTTTTGATCATTGTGAATCATGTTTTAAGCATAAAATAATAAGATCCAAAATAATTAGGAGTTATTCAAATAAGAGCAAAAATGATTCAAAAGTGATTAGATATGATTTTGAACAAAATTCACCAACGGGTAAAAGTATGAGTGAACCAAAAGTGTTTTCACGGGTACATCCACGAGTGAAGCCACAAGTGAAGTTGCAGTGAACTTGCAGACAAAATGAAAGTTCAACATAGCCTTTTACGATAAGTTGACTAGTCGAGCAACAAGTCAACTCACAAAACACAATGAAATATGTACTAAGTACAAACGGTTCCTTTACGATAATCAACGAGGCCAGGAGCACAGTGCTCCTGGCCTCGTTGAAAGCTGCTGAAACTAGTAAGTTTTGGCTGAAGAGCTCTGTCTGGCAGGGATTGTGACAAAGTACGGTTTTTGAAACTAGTCAAGTTGTGGCTTTGAGTATTCTTTTTGAAAGTAGTCAAGTTTTGGCTGTGCTGGCAGGGATCATACGAATTTTGAATCGTAAATAGTATTTTTTGCTGAGCACTGTGCTGGCAGGGATTGTTGCTGTAAGATTTTTTGAATCTAGTCAAGTTTTGCTGAAAAGCGCTGGAATCGTAACAAGTAAGGTTTTTTGAAACTATATAGTCAGGGTTTGGCTGAAGAGCACTGTACTGGCAGGGGCTCCATTTTGGTCTAGGTTAAAACTGAACAATACGTGACAAGACATTCAGCTCAATTAGCATCAACC